TTCCAGAGGAATAAGGTATCACCCCTTCCTTTCCCAACCAGGGCCACACAGAGCCGGAGGCAAAAAGGACCATCAAAAATATCCAGGCGGTAAGGAAAAATGTAATACAACAATCTATCATTGTTCAATACTCAACAACTGATCACCTGCATTTCCTAAATGCTAACCTAATAAGGGAAACAGGTGCCTTAAATAAACTACCTCTAATAAGGCTTATCTCAGATAAAAATTAAGCACAGTACTAAGGCCAGATCTACCTCAGATAAATGTCACATGTCTCCATGTGGGCAGGCCAGATCTACCTCAGACAAATGCCAACTCCAAAATAAAATAATAATGATTCCTTTTTCTCTAAGCCTTTTCTATGTCAACAGTATCTTGTCAAACAGAAGGTTCCCAGCCACAACACAGATGGACAGCTGCAGAACAAGGGGACGGCAGAACGTCATTCCAGGACCTCCCCACCATCATCCCAGGACTTCACAAGCTACCCTCCCATTCCCAAGAGCCAACCGATGCCCACTATTCAGCCGGAAGCAGTCTTTGAGAGAAATGTTGCCCCATACCCACTCAACCACAATTTTTTTTTCTTTTTTAAAAGGAAGAGTCAGGAATGATGGGTTCACAACAAGCCCCCACAGTTGGGCGTGTTTGCTCATGCCCGGCGGACCTGGATACTTCCGCCTAGCCAGTTCCAGGTCAAGATAGCCATTTCTGGGTCAAGGCATCTCGCGTGACCAGGATGTGACTTTGAATGGTTGCGTAAGAAAACAAAATGCCCAGTTAAAAAATAGAGAATAGAAATGAACAGAGAATTGTCAAAAGATAAAACATAAATGGTGGACAAATGTTTAAAAGAGTTCAAAATCCGTAAGTTATTAGGGAAATGAAAATTAAAACGGCTTTGTTCATTCATGTTAATTGTTACTCTATTCACAATAGCCAGAAAATAGAGACAGCCTAGATGTCCACCAACTGATGAATGCATAATGAAAGTGATATATTTATACAATTTCAGCTAATAAGAAAAATGAAATTCACCAGTAAATGGACGGAGCTGAAAATAAACCGTTCTGAGTGAGAAAGAAATGTTGCTTGTTTTCTCTCAGTTGTGGCTGTGGGGTTTGGATCTTTAGATGTGTGTGTTTCATTTGGAATACCCCAAAAGGCCAGGGAATTACTAAGAGTCCGTGGGGAGGAGCTTTTGTGGGAAAAGAAACAGAATGCACTAGTATAAGGAGTAAAAGGGAAAAATTGGGGTGGGGAGGGCAGAGTCAAAGAGGGAAACTAGAAGAGATAACACTAAAGACTTTTCAGGAAGGTCCTATGGAAACCTACTACCATAGAAGCTTCTTAAGATGTATCTGTACATATATGCTGTTACCCTATAATAGGGCAGCAACACCCCTTCTGGAAACCAGAGGCTAATAAATAACAAGTCTGGTCCCAGGAATGGATTACTTCTTCTGGATTTGTTGGCCAGTAGGTCCCAGCTTGATTTCTCCATGTTGTGTAACTCAAGTATGTGGTATCCACAGCAATGGAGACTTTACCTTTCCATCAAGTTCTGGAGGGTAATGAAGTGCATTGGCAATAGCCCATAATATTTGGAGATCTTTGGGACCTCACTAGTCAACAATTCCAGAAGTAATCCATTTTCTGTTTTGATCATTGACCTTCAGACTGACAATAGAAAATACTAAATGTCAGTGTGGTGTCATGTGTTACACTCAAAACCCTATCAAGTTGTAATCATGTGGCTCTTAAAATGCACCAAGCAGCAGTGTAAACAGATGCGAGAAGACCCTGTAAGGGTTCAGCTGCATATCGCTAACTCAGATGGTACAATGGTAATGACCACAGATACCACAGAAACAAGTGAATATGGCTATTAAACTCACAGACACTAAATTCCCAATTTCATGTCATTTTTGTAGCATGAAATAAGTCTTTGGATTGCTCCTCATCTATCAACATATTAAAAACAGGACTAGAGAGATGGCTCAGCTAGTAAGAGCATTGGCTGCTCTTCTAGAAGGCCCAGCTTCAAGTTCCTGCACCCACAACTGCCTGTAACTCTAGATCCACGGTATCCAATGTTCTCTTCTACCCTCAGTGGGTACGAGATATGCAGATGGTAACACAGACATACATGCATGCAAAATAGATATACACATAAAATCAAAGTTGTAAACTGTTTTTTTAAATTACAAGTTAAATTAAAAAAAAAACCAACAAAAAAAACCTTTTAGCTATGGGCTGATCAAAGCAAGTAGTGGCAAGACATTGCTATCTTACCTCCTGGCAAGCTGCCTCAATTGTTCAGCACATCCACTGTCTGATTTCTGGTTGATAAGTTCAAGGATATTCATAGTTCTATGGAAGTGTCCACATGATAAACTCACACTAACGGCTGTTTCATGCTTATCTCCTGTAAGCACCCATACTTTGATACCAGCCATTCTCAATGCTTCAATAGTTTCTCGAACCTTATCCTGTAGTCTAACAATAAAAGAAAAAAATTGGTAGAGAAAAATACTCCTGTAGTATATGTTAAGTATAAGCTACACAATACACATAAAGTATACTCTTTATATGAATGTTACAGTGTATCAACATAACTGAAATTTTCTTTCATTATGCACGAAACAAGAATAAATTATAAGTGGCCATCTAGTTCAAAGAAACCAGTGAATTAAAATATACTTCATGTTCTATCATCAAAGTTGGTTTTTATGAACCCAACTAACCAGGTAGCCTTCACAAACCTATCTTACTGGGAAGTGGTATAAGGGAAGGGGGGTTGAACTGAGGCCTGGTACATGCTAGGCAAGAGATGTTCCACAGTTGGGTGGTGGTGGCACATGCCTTTAATCCCAGCACTTGGGAGACAGAGGCAGCGGGATTTCTGTGAGTTCGAGGCCAGCCTGGTCTACAGAGTGAGTTCCAGGACAGCCAAGGCTGTTACACAGCGAAACCCTATCTGGACTCCCACAAAAAAAGAAATGTGCCACTAGTAAGTCTAAAATTTCAAGTCTAGATCTCCCCTCACCCCACCCCAGTAACAGAAGTAGATAAGGAGAGATAAGTATACAGCACACATAGAAGTCTAGGCACGAGAGATCCTCAATTCAGGTATTCTGCTTTTGGATGAGGCTCCTATAGTTTTCCTTTTAAATTAAACATCAGACTGTAGGAAATACAAGACTACGTATGTTTAAGAAATCTAATGAAAACAAACAAAAAGTAAATGAAAATCCACACTTAAAATATGCATACCTCTGTAGATATAGTGAACAGAAGAAAACAACAGGCTTAATTTATAAAGATCAATTTGACTCACAAAATTCAATTTAATTCAAGAGCTAAAATTGACATAGAAGATAGGTTATAAAAAGTAAAACAAGTTGCAAGGAATTTACATGCTAACAGAAAAAGAAAAATCTTTAAACAAATAATTTAACATAGCATCAAAAAACAACAATAAACAGAATGTTCATAAAGAAGAGTATTTTCAATCATGTTGTTGTCAGAAAAGATATTGTTGGATGAGGGTTGTTATGAGTACATTTTATTCACAAATGCCATGGCAGGGAAGAAGAATCATCCACACAGAAGGCAAGGCCTTGCCAAGGAACAAAGGCATAAACACAACAATTTCAGCTATAGGTATCCAGGAGTATAGCCATCAGTGAGGCATTACTGAAGCATGAAGCAGAGTGGGTACTAGTGGAAGGTGAGGATAGAGAGAGTCTGATGATGGTATGACACACGGACTAAAGAACAGCAACATGGAAGAATAATACAAACAAGTGTGTCCTTTATCTATTCAAATACCCAATGATAGAATAAAATAGTATTATTCTGAGTAGAAAAAAGTAAAGCTTTAGTTTTCTATTTTGTTACAGAATGTTAACAGTATTTAATATATTAGAAGCACTTGACTAAAACGTTCTTTTAAAAAAAAGATAATGCCAGCCGGGCGGTGGTGGCGCACGCCTTTAATCCCAGCACTCGGGAGGCAGAGCCAGGTGGATCTCTGTGAGTTCGAGGCCAGCCTGGGCTACCAAGT